GGCTTCAAAAACTTTAGACGGGAGAAATAATTAGCCAATTCAAATTTTACAGCCATATATAACTCTTCTATTCAACCTTTTCTGTGTAACTTGTGTTATGACATGCTCACTCTTTTCATTTTATGACATGCTCACTCTTTTCATTTAGCCTTTGCTCCTTACCTTTCTGAATGGTTCAGAACAAGTCACACATTGCGCCCTTAGCAAGGCAGTCCCATCCTACTCTGGTCTGAGTCTGACACTTTTTAGGACCACTTTTATGATTTAAACCCTGGATTACAATGTAGAGAACAAATCCAAACACATCAAGTTAATCTTTCAAAAGTATTTCTCCTTTTCAATTAAAATAATAAGAACCTTCTTATAGGGCGACAATCTAGTTTCCAAATTTAGATTAAATTAGACTGCTGGGCCATCCAATTATTTTTTTAATGTAAAAAAAAAAGGTTTAGGCAAAAAGTAATTCTTTACTTGGATTAATATGCAAAATTCATCTTGAGCAGCTTAATTTTTGTTCAATGTAATTTATAATATTGAAAAAAATATCAAATGCAAAAAGAAAAAAATTGAGATAATTTGAGTTCGTTTACCAATCTTGTAACTTAGATTGCAAGATTGATATATTCCTAAAAAAAATAATGAAAAAAACATAGTTTAATTCTCAACTAACATGTTTACCAATCTTGTAACTTAGATTGCAAGATTGATATATTCCTACAGAAAAAATAATAAATAATAAAAAAATATAGTTTAATTCCCAGCTAAATGTGAAAGGATGGAATCAATAAAAAATGAGATCTAGAATGAAAAAAAAGCAATTTAAGTAAATTCATGTAAACCCATCATACCCTGTGATCTTATACTCGTGAAAGGATGGAATTAATAAAAAATGAGATCTAGAATGAAAAAAAAAGCAACTTAAGTAAATTCATGTAAACCCATCATACCCTGTGATCTTATACTCTGGGATATGAGAATAAACTTTAGGATATGAGAATAAGATAATGAGAATAAGATAATATAATGAAAATTCAATTGAAAAAAATTATGAAATTAAAAAATAAAATATTTTTTTTTTAAAAAAAGCAAAAAACAATTGTGATTAACCTGAGTAACATGTCAAACTAGAAAAAATTGATAAAAAAAACAAAAAAAATTAGGACAATTAATATTAGCCTTCCAAACTCATGACTTGGATCATAAAATTAAAACTATATCATAAAAAATAAATAAATAAATTATAAAGTTCAATTATTAATTAATAATAAAAAAATAAAATAAAAAGACAATATTAACACCACCAAATTTTGATACTAGAGAAAGCCACATTCTTACATGAGTGCAATAACTTACCTTACATGTTGATGAGGGGGTTGCATGCGCGAACCAACTCCCCTTGCCTTCCTCTTCAATCCCTGACTTGCAAAAATAGGGCTTCACATTTGGTTTAGATATAAATTAAATTCTCAACTCTTAATTGTTTTAAATTAATAAAGTTATATTTTATTTTATCTAACCAAGTATTAAATTTTTTCTCTTGCAAAATCATTATATACAAGTAATCGAAACAAATCATTAAATTTAATTTTTAAATAAAATTATGTGAAATAATTAAATTAAAAATATAGTAGAGTGATAAATAAATGGGGCTGAGTATTTTTCTGCTGCCCATTCAATTCAGTTTTTGATTAAAAAAAAAAAGAGGTTGGAATCCTCAAAACTTTAATTGTTTTAAATTAATTAAATTTTATATAATGCAGTCAAAGTAAGCATTAACCAAGTCACATAGATTCTTCTGACACCACGAGACCCTCTAACTGAAAAGGTAAAAATAAAAAATCAAGTCTAATCATGAATAAATGCAATATATAAAAAAAACAAATAAAAATATCAAAGGGCAAAATTAAAAGATAAAACAAAGGATAAAAACAAGAGAATGAATATCACTACAATTCATACTGTTTTCTCTCGCGCTCCAAGCATTTAGCCAAACCTCCTAGAATGTTTTATTTATTTATTTAATCTACTTTTAATTTGGATTGATCAAGTCCTCGTACTCCTATCTGCCCTCGGCAATGGACTGCTATATTTATATGCTGAGGTCTCAATAGAGAGGAGCAACAGAAGGAACCAATAGCAAGTAAGAACCATAACCGTTTTTCCCGGGATTTTATGAGAAGAAAAGACAGGTCACAAGAACCCACCCAAATTTAGTCGGCTTTGCCTTTCTGGATATTTGGCCTGAAAAATAGGGTATCTACTGGTTTTGATTGACGGACAATGGGAATTGAAAACGCGTCCTTGAAAACAAAAAATGATGTGGGACTCTACACATTTCGGAGATTTCCCAGTTCATACTCGCCCTTTTCTCTTCTTGATTGGAGACAGGAGTTAACGATCAAGATTTTACATCCACCCCCCCACTTGGATTTTATATCAGACAGGGTTGAGGGATGGCATCTTCTTCCATGGACCCAAGCTGTGTGGTTTTGGTTTGAGAATGTTTGATGTGCGATCACTGGCATTGCAGCAGCTACCATGGGATCGTCTTGACTTCTTTTTTTTCGTTTTTCTTTTCCCCAAGGTGCGGTTTTCTCTATAGGATTTCCACATTCTTTGTTTCAATGGAAGTCTTCTTAATGGTTATTTTGTTCTTAACTACCTTGATTATTCCTAGTTGTCAATGAGTCTGTCTTACGATCCTTGGTGAGTTGATGGGTTTGGATTTTGCTTTAGGGATGTTTGTTTTAGAATATATATCGCCTTATGGAAACAAATTTTAAAATGTTTAAAGACGGTTTGTTGAAATATAAATAGATGTCAGATAATTAATTTCAATTCGCAAGGATTTAAGATGGCGAGGAGATTCTTTTCCTTGTTTCGGTGAATTTTTATGGGAATACACAGGATCTTGAGATTGGAGAAAAGCTTAAGAATTTTCTTCTGTCAGCTTTGCTGACGTATATCCTTGTTTTTCTCCTTTTTTCAAGCGCAGAAGCAATATTTCAACAAACGAATCAACCTTGCTGGCGCAGCTAAATTGCCTGGCTTGGCCATAATGACAACCAAAGTGAAAGGTCTTTTGAGAGGTCTCAGATACATTTCACAAATATTTGGTATGAGCAGCTTTCCCCTCTTAAAAGAAAGTATTGTTTCAGAACAAATGATATTGCAGCTTCATATTGCATCAATATGCATTTGATATCAGCATGCAGCATTCTTCTAATTCTGCTATGTCCTCACCAAAGATATTGCTAGCGTTTTCAGATTGCTCGTATTCCAACATTTAATTGGACATCTGTAAGCAGCAGTAGCACTGTACTATGCCTGTTGTCACCAATCGTTTCTCCAATTTTGCAGATGAAAAGGAACAAGAAATGCAAATTGGATTGCCTACTGATGTAAAGCATGTTGCTCACATTGGATGGGATGGCCCGTCTGCAAATGCACCAAGCTGGGTATGGCAATGAGTTTCCTTTTTCTTTGCCTCTTAAGGTCGTAGTTATCTACGAAGATGATCTTGTTTGCTTAAGTCTCCCATATAGATAGGCACTCCCATTTGATGCTCCTTTTGCTATATACCCTGCCTCACATTATCAGCTATGTCTCCATTCCATCAGTCATCATTGAGATTTAGACCAAAAATCTTGACCCCTACCTGCTCCCTCGAAGAACCTACGATAAGTATTGCTCCATCACAGTGCTCAAATAGACTATTTGATACGAAATAATTCCCTACGTGTGCAGATGAATGAGTTCACCTCGCCTCCAGAAATTTTAAGTGGGACTTCAAATTCTACAGATGTGAAGAACCTTTCAACAGATTCAACCTTGGAAGGTTTGCTTTTCCCTAATGATCATGGATCTATGTTTTTTTTTTTTTTGGATTAAGACGTGTGCAATGTTCTCCAAATCTTCTATTCTGTTGCTGAGGAATTATGGAAAAAATGTAGTTTGCTGATTCTGCATTGTTTTTAATATACACAGGTCAAACTGAAAAGCCGAAGCATAGTTCAAGGCTCTCATCGGGTAGTGCTAGCTCACTTTTAAATTCCCCAGACCGAAGGAGTACCGACTCATCAAAGCACTCCAGGCGCCAAGCATCTAGTAGTACTGGCTCAACTTTAAATTCCCCCAGTGGCACTGATGCGCCAAAGAGTTCTAGGCGTCACCGCTTTTCAAACAAGTCAATGGACTCTCCAAGGGAAGAATCGTCAGGGAACAGCCGAACCTCAAGACGACACAAGACCTCAAGTCTTGGTGCTGAATCGCCTATTCAAGACCAGCCCACAATCCCAAAGCATTCTCGTGGAAGAAAGTCAAAGGGATCATCAAGATCAAAAGAAAAGAACTCTTCAAACGAAGCGCTTCCTTTCTCGGATCCTGGACCTGGAGGGTCTGAGTCTATACATGGAAGGAAGAACATTGCAAGCCAACTAAGTTCTGTTTTGGAAGCATATGAAGAAGAGCGATGAAAGGAATGCGAGGATTTGTATGTTAGAGATTTAATGTCATGTGCATTAAAGTGTCAACTATAATTCAATTTGTCTTGAATTTGCTTTTAAATTCTCTCTTCATATGCTTACATGTCTATCTTGCATAGAGACAAGTCAAAAGCTTGTGCTTCAGCTTTATTGTTGATTTGTTACACGTCAAAAATAAAATCGCTTACAGTTAAGAAGCTAAAAGTAGCAAACTCAAACTTTCCCTGTTGGCATGTAAAAAAGGAAACATGGATACTTTTGGCGTACCCTTTAAACGGTGGCGAAAAAAGAATCCGCCTCCCAAGACCATTGTTCAGGTATTCCTGTTTCATTGTGAGTTTTATCCAATCTTGTAAACCTTAAAAATAAAATAAATCTGAAACTAACGTTTAGATAAAAAGAACATGAAGGCATCTGCAATGCTACAATTAACACATTTCTTACTTGAAAAATAATATGAAAAGGAGAAAAAAATTAGGGCATCAGAAACAAAGAAGAGGAATGATTAACAAAAAATACCCCGACATAAAACCAAACTCACATATTGACAACAAATTCACATTTAAAATCCAGTAAGAGTACATATGAATATATACTCAACGCATCAGATACACACACCATGGCTACTAGTGCCTTTGAAGAGTAGTGAAGGGAGTAGAGTTCAGGTGTGCAGCTAGTTTGGGAGATAAATCAGAAACTTTATGTGACAAGCAAGGCATAGGGGTGAGTGGTAGCTTATTTTCCAATGGAGTCAATGGAATAGGGGTTGATGGGAGATGATTCGAATCTTGGGTTTCCTTGGCTGGTCGCAAGCAAGCCAGATAGCCATGGGATTGGTAGTTGCAAATGGGGAGTTTGATGACCTGTACTGTTGATTCTTTCTCTTTTGGAACTGGTGCTCCAGTAGGATCCTGCACATATATAACAAGCATCCCATAAGAAAACAGCAGCAAGTAAAAGCAAATACAAAGAGGCGGGTTATCTTGTTTAAAGGATCTAACTAAAGGAGGAAAAAACCTTACCCCAAGCACAAGAAAAGTGAATGCTTGATTGTCCGCAGCAAGATAGATTTCGATCAGCTTCCGCAGGTCAGCAAGTGTGGCATCCTTCAACACCTTAAGTGTGGTGATGAATTTACCACTGTTTCCTTTAGAAGCTTCCCATTTCACATGTACTTCAATCTGTGAATCAGTAATTTTTACTGAAGGGTTGTAGTTCTCCTTTGAAGCCAATGCCATCATGTCAGACAGATTTTTCCCACATTCTATCACAGGCACATTTTTCTGGAGTGGTGAGTTTCCCTTGTTCGAAATTTTTTGAGTAGAATCCTTGCCGACAGTCATAATTGGAGATGTTTGAGGATCAGTATCTGCAACCCTCCTTTTTGCAGGTATTGGAGTTCTGAATTGTTGGCAAAGCTCTCTGTTATTCCCGCAAAGTGTAAATATGTTCTGGATTCTTAATCGTCTAGAAGAGGCTGAATCTTTCACATTCTCATACTCATTTGCTGGTCCTGAAACAGAGTGCCTATCTTTCACATTCTCATACTCATTTACTGGTCCTGAATCTGAGTGCCTATCTTTCACAATCTCAAACTCATTTAATGGTCCTGAAACTGAATGCCTATCTTCTGAACCATCCTTGAGTGCCTCAAGCTTCAGAGGAGAAGATATCAAGGAGCCAGCAACAAAATTGATCCCTGGACTAGACACGTCAACAACCCTCGTCACCTCTATTACTTCTTTCTCCACCTCTTCATCTTCCACTTTATTTTTGTGTTCTTCCTCCTCTTCTACCTCTTCCTCCTCGAACACAGTGCTAAGACAAACTTTATCTCCATGATCAACCACCTGATTCAAAGTACTAACATGAGGATAACTAGACAAACTTTGGGTTCCAATGATGCTAGATTGATCAGCAGATGTGCTAACAAATCTCACATCACGAACAAATGCTTCTTGATCACCCATGTCTAAATCCATCGATTTCACCATCCCTGGGTCCTCATCAGCATAAACCCCCAGCAGCCTTCTGGCAAAGCTGCAGCCATCAATGTCCCTTGGACCATTTTCATCCCTTGAACAACATAGCTCAAATTCAATTTCTTGCAAGCGCCTTCTCAGCATCTCAACTTCCTGCTGCTGTTGAAGTATCTTCTCTTCCATTCTCCTCCTCTCCATCTCCACAAACTCTTCAGCCATTCTTTGGCACTCCTCCAACTTCTTTTCCAACTGAAGTTTCAGTATCTCTGTACGCTCATTCACTTTTAGGTTTATCTCCTCTTCACTTGCTTGAGATCCCTTCTCTTCAATAAGTGCTCTCAGCACAGCAACTTCTTCTTCTTTCTTCCTTAGCTGTTTGTGAGCATCATTCCTCTCCTTTTCTCTGAGCTTGTTCTCCATTTGTAGCTTGTAGATAAACTGGTCCATAGCTGCTATCCTGGATCCTAAGATGCCCACAGAAGAATCTTCAGCACCAAGTTTATCCTTAATTGGCGTATGAGGACCACGGACAATACATTTTGCTTTTGCTCCATATTCAAGCGTGCAGATTGTCTTGTGTATTTCTTTTGGGTCTGGGCTTGCACACAGAATCATCAAAATTTTTGACTTGTCATCTTCGAAAGAATCCTGAAAAATAAGGAACAGGAAAACCGGATAAAGCAGAGTTTAAACAGCTACATAACATAACATAGTTGTAATCAACATGAATAGAACATTACTTGGAGCAGCATAGTTAACTTGCTATCTCTGAAAGGTACATGAGAATCTCCATTAGCAATAGATTCAACAACTCTCTTTAATGCTATATTCCCTTGGTTGATCTTCGCAGTCTGTCATTGCAAAAGAAGCACAAAATCAGCTTTCCTTTTTAATGCCAGGACACAGAAAAGAGGGAAAAATGAATTCCCGAAAATTCACCTGCATTTTAGCTTCAAAACCACTTTGCCCAGCTTGGTCAATATTTTCTGAACCTGCCATATCCACAAGCATAAGTCGGCCTCCCACAGTTGGGACATCAAGTATTATCTGTGCAAACAAGCAATTGAAATGTAGTGTCAATCTCAATAAACAACAATACTTTTCAATGGTTTCACTTTTTTTATCCAAGTCAGTTTTAGAGGAGCCATACCATGCAGTGACTCCTAGAACTTCGCTCATTACAAAGCGTGCTCTTAATTATCCTTCGCTTCTCAACTTTCTGAATCTCTTTTGAAATCTTCCCAGCTTCATTTCCAGAGATAAAAGTCGCATTTTTAGCCTTCTTTCCCATCACTTCTAGTCTTACCTGCAAAAAATGATGACAGCAGCATAATTCACTATAACATCTTGTCCACCAAGAACTGATATTAGGTGATGAACCCATAAAATGTCCTCGTGGAAAATAAATGCACCCAGGTCATCAACAAAGAGATAAGCTAGACACATTGTGTCGAATTAAATGTTCACAAACCAAGGAAAAAAAATACAAGTACAAGAACAGCTTAGCTGTCACAGGTTTATATGTAATATCTAGTACTAACAACTCCCGACTTCTTCTGGCACAATAACAGACAGAACAATTTTCATATATCGAGTTATTCTTCATTTCTTGTTGAGAAACCAATTTCAGGAAAGGCTTACACATTGTGCCGAATTAAATGTTCACAAACCAAGGAAAAAAAATACAAGTACAAGAACAGTTTAGCTGTCACAGGATTATATGTAATATCTAGTACTAACAACTCCCGACTTCTTCTGGCACAATAACAGACAGAACAATTTTCATATATCGAGTTATTCTTCATTTCTTGTTGAGAAACCAATTTCAGGAAAGGCAAAGAAAGAGAGGTGGTATGGATACGACAACAGAGAAGAAACTGAAACACAAACAGAGAGAACCGATCTAGTTATTCTTAATTTCTATAAAGCATACAATTGAACCTATTTTCATGAACACAACAAACAGCAATAGCTAACCAGGAACAAATTCTTAATGTAGCATACTATCATAAAACCCTAATCAGAATATGAACAGCAATTATCTACTCAAAATTAAGCAAATCAAAACCGAATTTTAATCCCAACAACACAGCAGCTGAAGCAAACTAATTAACAAAGAATTCGATGGAACTTGTTGAAAAGTTTACCTTGTATCCACTGCCACTCTTAGGCCACCCGATTCCAATTCCTCCCCCACCATTAGTCGACAAAAGATCATAAATTTCTTCATTATAAATCTCTAAAACTGTAACTTGCACAAAAGTACCAAGTTGTCGCTTCTCCCCTTCGCCCCCTTCCCTTCCCTCTTCTCCTTCTCCTAAAATACCTTTCAAAGACCGATAAACAATGCCTGGCTGCTTCGAGCAACCAAACATCGTATGGCTTTTCCCAGAACCAGTAGGACCATACATCATTATTGTGCATTTTGCACCCAACTTAACCCCATTAATCCTCGACTCCACGAACTTCTTGTAAAAGGAATCGAGGTCTTCTTCTTCAGAGAAAGAGACCCCATCGAAGCTGAAGTCTCTGTACCCAATGTCGGCACGGACACGAAGAGTGTTGTTCTCGGGATTTACTTGCAAGATCGAAGTGGGTTTCTCTTTTCTCTCAGGATAATCTCGTATCCTGCTAATCACTTCAACGGGGTGGTCTTGAGGGATCTCTTTGATGGTGTAGTTAGGGTTTGGAGATGGGTTAGGGTTTGGAGTTCTTGTTGAAGAGAAATTTATCCTATGTTTTGATTGAGGAGTCTTTAAGACGTGTGGGTGATTCGATTTAGAAGAAGAAGAAGAGGGTGTCGGGGCCATTGTGTTTGTTTTAAGGGAAAGACAAGAATTTTATGTTCTGCAGCTGGTTTTTTTATGGGTTTTCTTTCAAGACTAGACTGTGAACTCTGTTTTTAGAGAGATAGAGAAATATTGACATTCGATCTTGATCTTGTAAGATAGAGATGCAGGGAGAGAGAGATAAAGAAGAGTTGTTGAAATTGAAATTAGGGTTTTTCATGTTTGAAATTGAATATAGCCGTTATGGTTTCTAACGTCTATTTCTGTGCTGGGACGCTTCTGATGTGAACTGTCCCAGCCACTTGAGAGGCATGAGCCTTTGCATCATAACCCCTTTTATTTGATTTTGTATTTTAAAAATATTTTTTAAAAATTTTAATTTTAATTTTAATTTTTTAAATCTTGATATACTAATATTAAAAATAATTTAAAAAATAAAAAAAATATTATTTTAATATATTTTTAAATAAAAAATATTTTAAAAAATAACACTACAACATTTCTAGACAAATATTGATCAATTTACCTAATTAATTGTATAGAAAATGAATTTCCTTTTTTTTCCTTTCAAATAAGTACTTAATTAAACTTTTCCTGAAAAATCCCTCCTCTGTGCCTTGGTATTGCTCACTACCAAAGCAATCCTTTAAATACATCACAATATTTTTTAAAAAATTAAGAATTATTGTTTGGAATTTTTCCAAATTTTTTTTGAGTTAATTCTCCTGAAAAATCCCTCCTCTGTGCCTTGGTATTGCTCACTACCAAATCATCCCATACAACCAAAGCAATCCTTTAAATAAATCACAACATTTTAAAAAAAATTAAGAATTATTGTTTGGAATTTTCTCAAAAAAAATTTTGAGTTAATTATTTTATTTCTAGAAAATGAATTCGGTCCCTTTATCGGGGAGGTTATCCATCGGAGCCAATTGGCTCACATTTTGTCAGATTGGATGTCAAGTGATCAAATCTAAAACATAGGTCAAATTAGTGGGTCAATGTGGCAGTCACTTCAACAGATTGTAGGGGCCATGGAGCTCCTAATTCAAGCTCTACGATGTTATCGAAGTCTTTGCCTAGGTCATCCATTCGTTGGAATACCTAATCAAGAAACCATTTAAAAGGCAGGAAAAAAACCTTTAAAGACCAGTAACGTGGGGCAGATTACACCTTGTAATTGTTGCTTGTGCATCTAGCAAAAACGTGAGCCGAAATGATTCTGACACATCCAACTTGACTATCATCACAGTTAATACAGAGTTAGCTTTTCTTTCTTTGTTACTTTAGATTAAACAAATGTAGATAAGCCTTCACGCTAGAGAAGTAAAATCATCTGGAGGGGCATTCACAGCATGCAAGAAGTACCCTGTCATGTGGCAGGTTATCAACCAGTCATCCAATAAAGGTGCTAGAAGAGCTGCACCTTGATCTAGGGTTCAGGAGCATGCTGACATCAAGCATTGAACACAAACCCACGCGAAAAGCAGATTGATAGGTAGTGGTGAAAACACACACCTGGTCCAAGACTTATGGGGAGCAGCCTTCCAGAGGGAGGTCCAGGACGACTTCCACCTAGGGTGAGAATGCACTGCTATATATAAGCTTCCATCTCCCTTGCAGCTTATTGATATCATTTGAGAGATCAACCAGTCCTCCTACGGCTTCAGCTGCCTGGCAGCATCATCTGCCTACAGTTGATCATCTTCACTAGCAGCAAGACCTCTGTTCAGGCCAGAAACAGCGCTCTGCATTCAATCAACCATATGTGTCATGATAAAAATATTCAAGAAAAATAGAATGAACACCCTACTAGGGAGAATATAAGTTCTGCTTGTCCACATTGGCATTCTAGCATTTATAACTTGGAAGATTCAAGATTCTGTCATGTACCAAATTAAAAGGGTTCAAGATTGAGCCCGATATTTCAGACGTTGTAGAGATGAGTCCATAGAATAGATTATTAGGTGGTACGAACGCATACAAAAAAAATTTGACTCAAACATAAGGGCTCGAAAACTAATGTAAGAGATTCCAGGAACTAAACATTTACATCAATTATTCTCCGTGTTCCATGACCATAAGACAAATATTTTGTACATCATCCCAGAATCATAAAGTTCTTTTGGAAGCTCCTGACAGGACACAAGCAGCCCTTGTTTCCCTATTAAGTGTCTCGAGCTGCACTCAGCTAGTCAACAGCACCATCATGTTTTCCTAATAACATATTTGAATCTCACAAACCTCCAATTTGAAAGAGAAACGTGCAGATGTCATATATCATGGTGAAGACCTACAGTACAGCTTCCATTCCATAGCATTTGCACGGAAAAATGTTGCAAGTGAAGATACTTGTATGTTTCAGATTCTTGATTCTAGAGAGAACAGAGGTAAGTAGCTCTCATTCACAGAGAATATGAGATTGCTGGTTTTCCTGGGTCTAGAACAGGAACTTCGTCTAGATCTGACCTCAAAACAACACTTCTCTGTAGATGATTTATATAAGAACCGTCATGTCCAATTCGAGTTACATGTGGGTCAGTGAAGTTCTTTTTACAGTCTGAATTTTGATGGGAAGTTTACATTTTACAGAAGAGGAGGAAGAGAGAAATGCTGAAGGGTAAAGTAGGAGAGCATACAGCTGCCATGATTCTTTCGTTTTCTGTTTCTTCTTAAGAGAAGGAGGAGGGAAAGAAGTAAGCGCATACAGCTGCCATGATTCTTTCGTTTTCTTTTTCTCAAGAGAAGGAGGAGGGAAAGAAGTAAGCAAGGACCCACCATGTCTGTGCAAGAGAAGAGAAGTGATTCTTGTTTTTTCTATGATTTTGTTTTCTTTGGTAAAGCTAATTCGGTCTCTCATCTTATACAAATTTTCTAATCAAGTCTCTCTCTTTTTTTTGGTAAAGTATATGTCTATTTTTTATTTTCAATTAGGTGTCTCTATTTTTATTTTTCCATTTCTATTACTTTGTATAATCACAGGATCATTAAGTAATAAAATAAATCATTATAATTCAATAATTTGTAATTTAAATAGACTATATCTTTGTGTATAAATTACTTTTTAAAGTATTTTTTATTTGAAAATATATTAAAATAATAATATTTATTTATTTATTTTAAATTTAATTTTGACTTTAGTACATTAAAACAATATAAAAATACTAAAAATTTTAAAATATCGCACCAAACAACTTAAAAATTGCTTGGCAGTGATGTTTTCGTTCTAAGGGCCACGTGGGATCTTGTGTGGCGAAAGATAGATGGCATTGGACCCACTCTTAAGGCATCCATGCCTTCAATTATTTTGATATAACTAATCTCACCATCCATGAAAAATCATGTTTCGTTATCGATGCGTCACTTTCCTCACAAATCAAGGAATACGATTTCCCACCAAATTTTATAAAGTGTTTATTTGAAAATATTTTTATTATTTATTATGAAAAAAAGTTAATCAATAAAAATATTTTTCAATTAAATAAAAATTTAAGTTGATTTAAAAAAATATTTTCTAAAAGTTACAAAAAAAATTTAAAAATATTTTGTTATTTGTTAATTTAGAAAGCTTGATCATCAACTTTTTTATTTTTTATTTTAAAATTTAATTTAATTTGATTTTTATACTAGTTATGATATCTATTTTTTTAATTATTATTTTTATTTTTAAAATTGAAATTTTTTATTTACTGGATTTAATATTTATTCTTTTGATTATTATTTATTTTATTTGAAGTTTTATAAAATTAATTTTTGTTTTTAATTTTCATTATTTTTTAATTTTTTATATTTAATATTCATTCTTTTTATTTTTATCTTTTAAAAATAATTTATAAAATTTAATATTTTAAATTTTACCCCTTTCGATCTTTTTATCTGTAAGATCTAGTTTTCATACTTTTAATAAAATTTTAAAAATAATATTAATAAGTTATTTTTTTATTTTATTTTTTATAATTTAATTAAACATTAAAAAATAAATTATTTTTATAAAACTACTTTTCAAAAAAAAAATTCTGCAAACAAACAATATATAAAACATATAAAACGAGGTGAATCACATTTCCGTGGACAAGGATTGTGAAAATCCTTATTGCTTGATGGGAATATCCTTACAATTAATATAAGTTGGAGTAACGTGGTTTTATTTTTTTAATAATAAAAAATATTTTATTCTCACTATTGATATTTTTAGAATAATTTAAGAAAATACTTGTGAAGAAAATTGTTAATTAGTCAATAAATTATTTTATCTTGTAGTCATAATTGATATAATTTGCATGTCCTTATTAACATAATTATTTAAAAAAAAAACATTGTATTAAAAGATTTGATACTTTGATGAAATAATAAATTTGTTTATATTTTTCACAAATTTCCTCTTGCAAACCAAACACATTAAAATATGCTACAAAAAAAAATTCAAACAAAAAAAAAAATCATATTTGCAGTGACTCCATTTTTAACAATCATATATTTTCAGCAATTAAATTCTAAGATAATTTTTTTTTGAAATAGCTTTTTACAAAAGCAAAAGCTTAATAATAAAAAAAATGAAACTAATTAAAAAAAACAGGGGGGATATTTAACAAAAAATTAGACCATTTCTTTTCATCATCTACACAACATTAAACTAAGAGAATTTTATATTTTATTTTAAAATATATAAAATAATTTTTTATTTTTAGTATTAATACATTCAAATAATAAAAAATATTAATTTAAAATTTAAAAATAATTTTTTTAGAAAATATAGCTAGACATAACTGTCAAACAGTCCCTTAATATTTGGATTTCTCCTATCAATTATGCTATCACGACGAACCCTAATCCACGACCAAGCAAATTGTAGGCACGACGAGATTGGACTTTTCAAAATATCTAGTTGCATTGAAATAAACCACAAGTATAAATGTATGTTTGTTAATATAGTACATGTTTTCCTCTTAAAAATAAATTAAAATATTTTTTAAAATTTTTATTTTTATTTTAATAATAGTATGTTAAAATTATTGAAAAATAAATAGCAACAACAATAACAACAAAACAACATACTTCAATTTATTTTTTTATAAATAAAATGCACTTTTATAACACATATATTATTATACTCCCAAATATTATTTATATAAAAATTAAATGTATTTTCTTCTTCTCTTCTAGTTTATTTTAAAAACTTTTATTGTTTTAAAATGTGTTTAAAATTATTGTAAGAATTATTTTTAAAATTTATTTTTACTTGAAAATATATTAAAATATTTTTTAATCTTTTAAAATTTATTTTTAAAATTTTGATATCAATATATTAAAATAATTAAAAATTATAAAAAATTAATTAAAAAAATAATAATTTGAAAGAATAGTTAAAAGAAAAAAAAACAAACAAGAAAAGCAATCAGAGCTTCAATCTTCCATGAAACGTGCAATTATATAAACCATATTTCTAAAAAAATCAAAATTTTTTTATTAGCACAAGTATAAATGTATGTTTGTTAATATAAACCATATTTCTAAAAAAATCATTAGAATTTAATATATTTTAATGTGTTAATATTAAAAATAATTTTAAAAAATAAAAAAAATATTATTAATATCCATTTCAATACAAAAAATTATTCAAAAAACAACCGTATCATCTTTTAAAAATCCACCCACAAGTGTCCTTTTATTACAATGTTGAATGTTGTCACTCGGAAACAAATTTCACTTTTGAAAACTAATACCTTTTAAGTAAAACAAAACATATCACTATCAGATAATAATAATAGTTATTAAATTAATCAGAATCCAAAACTTGATTAAAGTTGGGTTTTATTTTGAGTTATTTAATATTTTCACTCGATTAAATATGATTAACTTAAAGGATTCATTCAAAAATCGATTGATCTTATTAAATTTAAGCGAGATATAATTGAGTTAATTTAAATAAAATAATATTACTTTAAATAAAACAACTGACTTAAATTTATCTAACAACTTTCTCTATTGACCTAGGAATCCAATGACCAATCAATAAGTCCCTGTCCTATAACCATGATATAAATAAAATAAAACGCACAACCCCAAGAATTGTTTTTTTGAAAAATCTAAATTAGATACATTTCCCGCTCAGAGCAACCTCTCCCCCGCGAGAGAAGTCCAAAAAATCTAAATCATATTATTTTAATTTTGCAGATCCATTCCTCCTCTCTCATTTTTGTCTAGTAAGATCCTCTTCCTCACACAAAAATTAATTAAATAACCCTAAACATTGGTAATTAATCTATCAAATCTCTTTAATCCATGTCGGCCTCCTCGGCTCGTCGGTTAAAAGGCCGAAATGGCGTCGCCGACGCCACAGCAGCTTCAAAACCAACCAAAGCCCTAACTCCAATCTCAATCTCTGATAAAAACCCTAATTCCACTATTAAAAGGTCGCTCTCCGGCAAAGAGAACCCCGCCAGACCCAACTCTCGGGCCCAGAAGTCCTCAATTCGGCCAGTGCCACGTGTTGACAAGGCTGCTGTAGGAGATGGCAGCGAAGGGCGGATGCGGTGGTCGACGTCATCGGCCCCAAGAGGTAGGAGTCCAAGCCCTTCTGAATTTATTAGGGTTTTTAGGGATTCTAGGGTTTCCACAGGGGAGAGTGATAATCGAGTGGTGTCGAGAGCAGAGAAGAGTGGGATTAGGGGTTTGAAAGAAAGTGGCGGGTTTAGTGGGGAATTGAAGAAAAGGAATGGACTTTGCAAAGGAAATGATTTCAAAATATTAGAAAGTAAAAAACAGTTACGCGGGCTTAAGGTTTTGAATGATAACTGTAATAAAGAAGTTAACTTGCGAAAATCAAGAGAGTTTGACTCAAATTTACATTCAAAAGTTGCAGATGGTGGTAAATTTGATAAGGTATATGTTGATAAATTTGGGTCTGAGGTTAAATTTGACAGCTTTAAAGACTCTAGTGAGAAATCTTATGGTAAAGGTATGGTTTTGGAGAACTTGAAAGAGAAGGATTTGAGTGATGAAGGGAAAGGAAGCAATGCTGGTGTTAAATATCCAAGCAAGCTTCATGAGAAATTGGCTTTTTTAGAAGGGAAAGTGAAGAGGATTGCATCGGATATAAAAAAGACAAAGGAAATGTTGGATATGAATAATCCTGATGCATCCAAGGTGGTACTATTGAATATTCAAGATAAAATTTCAGGTATTGAGAAGGCAATGGAAAACGATGCGGGTAGTAGTTCATCAAAAAGTAGTGGGAATGATACTGGAACAATTGTGGTTGTAGAGAAGAATGAAACTGAGAAAGTTGAGAATGTGAAGAGCCAAGCTAAAGGGTTGAATACTGAGGAACTTGAAGAAAGACTCATTCCTCATCATAAGTTGCTTAGAAACCGAACATCGCTGAAGGCACCGATGTCAAGTTGTCAAAGTCATAATGTATCTAATGCTGATGAGTATGGCTGTGAGTTAAAGGTGGAAGAGAAGTTGTCGAGCCCTATTGAAGAGAATCCAATAGCACTCGAGTTCTTGGATTCCCTTAGTAAAGAGGATGGTAAAGTAATCGTGAGGGATGCCAAGGTAGATCTTGAATGTTTTGAGGTTCAAGAAATGGGTGATGTTTCAGCATCAGGAAAGCAAGGCTCTTCAAACATGTGCAATCCCAAGTGTG